ATTTCCCTTTACCGACCCATCAGAATGCTCAAAATCATCATTGGAATCAGATTCAAATGATTCATGGTTATTGTCTGTTGTTTCAGCATCAATAATTAGCAATGAAAGTTCTTTTGTTTGCAAAATTGACCACCTACGTGGTCTAGCAACAGCTGACATGCTTGGAGTGGGCGTAGCCATGGCTTTGTTACTTTGTTTACAAAATTTCAATACAAATGAACTATTATTAGAAAACATACATGCAATCATGCCCTACTTCTTAAAAAAGGAAGTAGTAAGTATAATGAGGAGCCGCCAGTACGATATTTTTAATCAAATACTGTAAATCTTTAACTTTAACAAAATTGACCTAATGTATACGGATCATCAAATATATCAAAAGTAGCGATATTTCACACACTCCATTCTCCATTCATTGTAATCGGTTAAAGACACCAGATACTATTCTTTTTAAAACTTTTAAAAACTAATAATGTTGGCGTTTTTAATTTTAAATTTAAAAAAAAATATATATAATCGTTATATTGTTGTACAATTTTTGCTCCATTGGGGGGGGGGGGGGGCTTTTGCCTTTCCCGGGGGGCACTGCCCCCCCCCCCCCGAAGATGGCTGGAAAAAAAACCCTGCCGTTATGCCAAATACAACCTTGCTCTAGACAACCCTTATGTTGTGCCTCATATATATATATATATATAAAATTCCCCATAACCTGAGACAATTGTTTTATGATGATGTACACAAATTCAGGCTTGTGATAAAATTTGTGATAAAATATTCTTCACTGAGTCTTAGAAATGCATTGACTAATCTTTGTAAATAATCTTTAAATTGATTTTCTTGATGAAGGTGATTTCACAAACTGAAGTGAAAATGAATGGGATAAGCTCATACTCATACATAAAAACGATTCTTTCTCATTCAGGTCAAAAACTACCCAAAAACTACCCAAAAACTACCCAAATGCCTGAGTTATATCTCCATTTTCATTTTTTATTTTGTGTGGTTTCTCATAATGCTGAGCCAAAACTCCTGTTGTAAGTGGTTGACAGATGACTCTTATTAACTAATAACAAGAGTCATAGACCATCATAGACCATCATAGACTAGTAAGTTTCAAATATAAATCTCCAATACAACAAATTAATGTTATTAAAAAAAAATTAAGCTAAAGCGACACTTTAATTTAAATTAGGAGGCATTAAATTTCCACATGTGAAGAAAGTCATTATTTTATCAATGTGGAATACAGTTGCTGATTATGCTTTGAATATAATTTTTTTTATTTATTATCCAAACCTTACTTAATTTTCTCAGTGTGTACATACATTTGAATCACCTAGACTAAAATTATAGAGGAATGAAAAAATATTTTGTAAACTTCAACTCCGCCTATTATTTTTACAGTAATAGAATTTAAATTTCCTTTCAAATGTCTATTTCTAACTTAATCTATTTTTTTTTTTTTTGGGTGTAATTTTAAAAAAAAAAATGTAATGAAATTAACTTTTTTTCTCAGCTGATATTTTTCAAAAGTGTGCTCATTTTTAACATTACAATTTTTAAGAAAATGTCTTAATTAATATGCTTGTTAAAGTTCGATGTATAAATTACTTTAATTTGTTTTAAATTTCCTTTTAAATGTCTTTTTCTAACTTAATTTATTTTTTTTTTTTTTGGGTGTAATTTTAAAAAAAAAATGTAATGAAATTAACTTTTTGTCTCAGCTGATATTTTTCAAAAGTGTGCTCATTTTTAACATTACAATTTTTAAGAAAATGTCTTAATTAATATGCTTGTTAAAGTTCGATGTATAAATTACTTTAATTTGGTCATGTATTGTTAAAAACAAACAAACACCATCTGACCAGCACAAGGTCCCCATTCAGAGGGTAGATAATAAAGTTCAAATAGCAAACTGGAAAAGCATGATATGTATCACAGAATGTGTGGTGTGTGTGTGTGATTTTTTTTTTTTTTTTTTGGGGGGGGGGGGGTTATGGAAGAAAAGAGGCAGTCATAAATATCACACAGAAGTGGACAGAAGCTTGACACCCTACATTTGCTAAATTTGAAGTCAACGAACGGTTAACATGTGTGGAAACATACACACACACACAAAGTATATAATGGCCTACGAAACGTCATTGTTTAGAAAAACAAACAAACAAACAAAATGACTTCACATGAGTTCTCGATGGATTAAAGTAACAAGATCTCTGCTGAAAACAGGCGCATCAATGTTACACTTTGAAACTTTTCAACAGGTACAATGATCACATCAGCAGACATCGCTCCATTAGAAACTAGGATGTTACAACGGACATGAATGAGAAACAGGATGTGGCTACAATAGGAATGACCAAACTATGAGCACTTATGGTAATAGCAGTTTGTTTGAAAATAGATCAATATGGAAATTAATGAAGTGGGGGGGGGGGGGGTTTACCCCGGGGGAGGGAGTAGTTGG